CCCCAAAACCCCAAAACCCCAAAACCCCAAAACCCCTAGATATTTAATCAATATTGAATACCAAAGTTCCCATTCAGATATTGTGGAAAGAATTAATTCAGCTACACATCAATGTACTTCAATTATAATCGCTTAGCCCATTCCAAGTCTCCACATCCAAAGATGATGCTTCTCAGTCTGGAGGTTATCGGTAAGTGAAGCTTAATGTCTTTGGATTGGGTGTATACATCCTGAATTGACTGAATTTCATATTCAAATGTAGCTAAGATCGGAGCATTCTTCGACAAGAAACTGCCAAGACAGGATTTGCATCAGTATCTCAACAGTATTAGTAAGTCACATTCGATTGCAAAATATAAACAATCGAATAGGACAGTTAGAAGCAGACACTCAGCACACCATTGATGAAGTTATAAAAGAATCACTGTCAGATGATGACTCTGAGAGTTCAGATGGCTCTTCACTACCTGACTCTGATCATAATGATTTTGATGATGAGACAACCACTAAGATCAAAGCAGATCTTGATTAACAAGAAGAACTTCTTCGTCAAGACTCCCACAAAACCAGACAAGAACTTATTCAGATGCGTGATGGCCTCATCTTGAGTTTGATGCAAGAGTTCCACCCTGAGAAATAATCAGAAGTCAATCCCTTAGTCGAAACATACACAGCAGACAAGCTAAAAGTTCTGTCAAAGAACACTTCAGGAGCATCGAATTCAGTGCAAGACTCTTCAGTGAGTGATAGAAAGAAGCTGTGTTTCATGAGAACCAACAATACTGCTTTGATAGAGTCCATTGAGTCAGAATTTCCTGATCTTCCGATGAGCATCAAAGTATTTGCTTTATCCAAACTTTCTCATGAAGCTGGTGAGACTCTTCATCAGAATCTTGACTTGGGCAGCTCAAGCGAACAAGTCCAGAGCTTTGCTAGCGAGTTCTCCAAGTTCTTGAAGAAATGGTAATCCTCACCTGTATGACATTGTAGTCCAAAGATCCCATGGAGATCATCTGTCATTGACATTGATCCAAGTGAAGTCGTCAAAGTATTGGTTTATTTCTATCTGTGTCAGTCTCCGAAGTCAGATGCTGACAAACAAAGGATTGATTTCTGTTTCTCTGGACTCGTTGAGTGGTATGCTGACTGAGCTGAAAGCCAAGGTGAAGATCCTCAGGCAATCATCGAGCTTGCTGATCAAACAGCTGAGAAATTTGGTGGAGACTCTGCTAAGTTGGAACAGCTGAAGCATATTCTCTTCGATGATCTGTCAGATAATCAAAGATATTATGTTATTTTGAATATCTCAGTGTTTACTCTCGGAATAGTCAAAGACAAACATGATATTCACTATAAGGTAAACTCCTCTCTGACACTAGTGTTTATCATGCATAGGTAAACCATGCAGCTCTAGACTTCTACATGTCAAACTTCTTGGCTTAGCTATGCTTGGTGGCCAAGGGCAAGCAAATGTATCTGATGCCGTACAAGAAAATATCCAAGATATTTTATGGCAGCAACAAAGGTAAGTCCAACAAAATATGCTTGTAGACATGTTTTCATCAGACTACTACAAAGAGTTCATGACAAAGAAGCCGAAAAACACAGTTGGCTATGTGTCCTTCATAGAACGCATAGTTGAAGATCCTGACTTTGAGAAGAGATACATTCAAGATGCGATCAAATTAATCTATATGTATCAAGAAAGATTCTCAAAATAAGGATTCGAGCATCACTGCAAAGCTTCTCAAGAAAACATTCAAGAAGTCTGCAGGCATCATTAAAGACAATGGCAAGACTTTTGGCTTTATTGGCTTGTGGGTACATTCTCAATGTTCATCTGACTTCACATAGACGGAATTATGGCTAGTTTTGAATGAATTACTCCGGATGCAATATTCTCCAAGCATGCGGTGATAGCTCTATCAGGTTGGATGAGTGAATCAAAGTCTTCTCACTAGCGCGAATGGAAAGGTTTAATCGAGGCACTTGAATTTGGTTGGAGCTTTCCAATCTATTATTTTTCATGGGCTTCTTCTACTGTTTAGGATATGTTAAAGGCCTTATTAAAGCTAAAATGGTCAACCATCTTGAAATAGTTGATAATGAAAATAAATAAGCAATTAAAAATCCCAGAGAAGATCTTAGATGTTATTTTAAAGATTAGAGGTCAGTTTATAGATAGTATCAAGTCAGGAGAAGCAACAGGAAAGCTTCTTGCTCATTCATTGATGGCTCAGTTCCCCTTCAAAAATACTTCAATAACTTTACTTGCATTATCTCTTAGAGACCAAACCATTTATAGCTGTTTGGAAGAACTCAAAGCTTATGACTGCGACCACATCAGTAAACTCATTTCTAATCACTTAGTTATCAAGCTCACTTAGAGTTTTAAATTGGAATCAGTCAGGAGTACAACCTTGTGGTCCTCATCAAGTACCTCACGAAGGTGAATGTTGTAAAATACCAATGCTCTCAACGCTTTGAGACGGTTCTTGAAATCTTTACTTTTCCCACAAAGGTATTTCTCAACTTCCTTCTAACTAAAATAAGTACTCTCATGATTCTCATCCTAAAAGTAGAAGAAATGTCTATAATTACGATTCTCAATGATATCTTGAATAATGTTCCACTTGTTGAAAGCTGCCATTCTGTTTGGACCTATAAAATCGTTTCAAACAGCTAGAAGGCGAACTCAACTTAAAATTATTGTATCAAAGCGAAATTAGTGAGATAAGGAGTAGAACTCAATATTATATAATCTACTTGGCTTCTTACCTGCCATGATACTCTCATGAGTTGATTTTAGTATGACACAATTACTTAATTCGTCGTATTGGTCAATTAAATCAATCTGATTCTGCACAAACGAATAGTCGAGCAGATAAATCACTTTGTAGTCCCCATCCTCTTCATCTTTCATTCCCTCATGAATAGCATCATCATCTCTTCTACCAAGCGTAAGGCTAGTACCCCCTTGCTGACCCCAGCAGTGTCACCTTCTTCCCATCCTAAATTATCTTTGATCCCACAAGACATCTTTGAGATGTATTACTCATCCAAAACCTTTATTATCCCTACAGGATGACTACCAAACCTACCATTATAAGTCTTCTTGTAACTTATACGGTTGACTTTCTTCACGTCGTCATTTTGGGCTATAAATTAGTAAGCTCTAAGGAATTCGCTTACTTGACTGTAACACTCTGAACATATTGCTGTGTTTCAATTATTTTATACCTTGCAGGGGTTTTGGGGTTTTGGGGTTTTGGGGTTTTGGGG